AATCTATAAACATGGAACATCTTTACAGTTATTTAAGTCTTCCTTAATCTCTTTCAGCAGTGTTTTATAGTTTTCATTGTGTAAGTGCATCATGTCCCTGGTTAGATTTATTCCTAGATACTTTATTCTCTTAGATGCTATTGTAAATGGAATTGTTTCCCTAATTTCCCTTTCAGATTTCTCATTACTGGTGTATAGAAACCCAACTGATTTTTGTTTATTGACCTTGTACCCTGCAACTTTTCTGACTTCTTCTATTAGCTCTATAAGTTTTCTTGTGGACTCTGGGATTTTCTATATATAGGATCATATCAGAGCCCTGGTGGCACAGTGGTTAAGAGCTACAGCTGCTAACCAAAAGGTCAGCAGTTCGAATCTACCAGCTGCTCCTTGGAAACCCTACGGGGCAGTTCTGCTCTGTCCTGTAGGGTCACTATGCAGCAGAATCAAATCGACAGCAGTGGGTTTGGTTTTTTTTGTTTGTTTGTTTGTTTTAGGCTCATATCATCCACAAATAGAGATAATTTTACTTCTTTTCCAATCTGGATAGCTTTTATTTTTTTTCTTATCTTACTGTTCTGGCTAGGACTTCTAATACACTACTGAATAGAAGTGGTGAGAGAGAGTGAGCTTCTTTGTCTTGTTTCCAGTTTCAAGGGGAAAGCTCTCAGTCTTTCCCCATTAAATATAATGTTGGCTGTTGGCTTTTCATACATGCCCTGAATCATACTGAGGAATTTCCTTTCTATTCCAATCTTCTTTAGGTTTTTCATCAAGAAAGGGTGTTGGATTTTATCAAATGCTTTTTCTGCATCCACAGAGGTGATCCTGTGGTTCTTTTCCTTTGTTCTGTTGATGTGGTGTATTATGTTGATTGATTTTCTAATGTTGAACCATCCCTGCATTCCTAGAATAAATCCCACTTGGTCATGGTGTATGACTCTTTTAATATGCTGTTGGGTTCTGTTTGCTAGTATTTTGTTGAGGATTTTTGTATGTATATTCACAAAAGATATTGTCCTGTAGTTTTCTTTTTTTGTGGTATCTTTGTCTGATTTGGGTATAAGGATTATGTTTGCTTTATAGAATGAATTAGGGAGTATTCCTTCCTTCTCTATCTTTTGGAAGAGTTTAAACAGTTTCAGTATCAATTCTTCTCTAAATGTTTGGTTTCCCCAGTGAAGCCATCTGGTCCAGGACTTTTTTTTATTGGGATGTTTTTTGATGGGTTCATTTGTTATGGGTCTGTTGAGACTTTCTATTTCCTATTGAGTCAATTTGGGTAGGTTGTGTGGTTCTAAGAATTTGTCCATTTCAACTAGGTTTTCCAGTTTATTGCCATACTGTTGTTCATAATATTCTGTCATAATTCTCTTTATTTCTATTGGGTCAGTTGTAATGTCCCCTCTTTCATTTTTTAATTTGGTTATTTCCATCTTTTCTCTTCTTTCCTGTGTTAGTCTAGCTAAAGGTTTGTCAATTTTTTATTGGTCTTTCCAAAGAACTGACTTCTGGTTTTATTGATTCTGTTGTTTTTCTGGTTTTGATTTTATTTATTTATTCTCTGATGGTTGTTATTTCCTTTCTTCTGGTAGGTTTAGGATTAGTTTCCTCTTCACTTTCTAGTTCTTAGAGTTGTCGAGTTAGGCTGTTAATTTGAGATCTTTCTTCTTTTATTATGTAGTCATTTATTGCTATTAGTTTCCCTCTGAGTTTACTGCATCCTGTAAGTTTTGGTATGTTGTGCTTTTGTTTTCATTTGAATCTAAGAAATTTGTGATTTGTCTTTTGATTTTTTTCCTTAACACATAGGTAGTTTAATAATGTGTTGTTTAATTTCTATATGTTTTTGTATATTCCAGGTTTTTTTCTGTTACTGATTTCTAGCTTCATTCCATTGTGGTCAGAGAAAATACTTTGTATGATTTCAATCATTTAAATTTATCAAAACTTGCTTTGTGACCTAAAATGTGGTCTATCCTGGAGAATGATCCCTGTGCCTATGTGATTTTTTCCAGAATTTTTATAGTTTTAGCTCCTAGGTTTAGTTCTATGATCCATTTCAAGTTAATTTTTACATACAGTGTGAGGTAAGAGTCACTGTTCATTTTTTCCATATAGATATCCAATTGTTCCAGTGCAACTTGTTTAAAAGACTATCCTTTCCTCTCACTGATATGAAATACCTAGAAAAGGCAAATGTATAGATATTAGAGTTTAATAGTGGTTACCAAAGGCAGGAGGAAGAGGGAAAGGGAGAATCATTGTTTAGGAAGCACTGAGCTTCTGTTTATGGTAATGGGAAATTTGACAGTGGATACTGGTGATGGTAGCACAATATGATCAATGTAATTGGTCTCACTGAATTGTACACGTGAAAAATGCTGAATTGGTAAACACTGTGTTATCTGTATTCTTACAACAAGTTAAAAAAAAAAAAAAAGACTATCCTTTCCCACTGAATTATCCCTTGGTGTCTGTTTTTGAAAATCAGTTGACTATATATGTGTGGGTCTATTTCTGGACTCTTTATTCTGTTCTGTTGATCTAGTGTCTATCTCTAGACAACATCTTAACTACTGTAGCATTACAGTAAACCTTGAAATTAGGTAGTACAAGATCGCCAACCTTTCTTTTTCAAAATTGTTTTGGCTTGTCTAGGTCTTCTGCAAGTTCAAATGCATTTTAGAATCACCTTTTCAATTTCTACAAAACAAAACAAAAAAAGTCCATTGGGGTTTTAATTGGGATTGCCAGAATTTATAGATAAATTTGGAGAGAGCTGGTATTTTAAAAATATTGAGTCTCCTAATTTATGAGCATGATATATATAGCTCTCTTTTGTTTCCCCAGGTATTTAATTTCAGCAATATTTTGTCATCATTAGTGTACAGATATTGCACATATTTCATGTTAAATTTATCCCTAAGTATTACATGTTTTATGCTAATTTAAATGTGTTTCTATTTCAATTTCCAATTGTTCACTGTTCACACTATAGTTTTAAGCAAAATGTTGGAAGCAGCATTCTGAGAAGGAGTATGGATTGAAAACAAAAGGAAGAAGTGATCCTAAATGGTAACTCTTTATAATGAAAGAGAAAATATACCAGTCAAATCACTGAATAACAAAAGCAATGTGGAAGAGTTATCTTGTAGACTATTACTTTCACTTTTATATCCAAGCATGGAACTTACTGGTTTATTCACCATGAACAATAATACAGATACACCCAGAGAGAAGTGAAGAAAAAAAGGCACTAGACCTGGAGACAGGAGGCTTAGACTTTAGTCATGACCTGCATGCTGAAAAAGTCCAAGATAAATAGACCTTGGAAGCATTTTCTTCTTTTTAATTTTTTATTCAACTAATATTTGGTGAGTCCTCACAAAGTGGCAAACCCTATACTAAATGCTATAAAATGGAAAGAATACTACCTGCCATATCCTTAAGAGGTTTTAATGAAGGCTCAAATGTGAAATAGATATATGAAATATTTTGGCAAACTATAAATTTGACACGTTACTATTATTTCAATTATAAATACAGCATTTATAGATGCTGTTACTTTAATACAGCGCTCAGGGAGAAAGGAGAAAATGGCTCTGGAAAAAATTAAATGGATTATAGCTAGAGAACCCTTAAATTAATCCTGTCATGACACACCATACCTATTCACTCTGTATGCTGAGCAGATAATCCCAGAAGCTGGACTATATGAAGAAAAACAGGGCATCAGGATTGGAGGAAGACTCATTAACAACCTGCGTTATGTAGGTGACACAATCTTGCTTGCTGAAAGTGAAGAGGACTTGAAGCAGTTACTGATGAAGATCAAAGACCACAGCCTTCAGTATGGATTACACCTCAACGTAAACAAAACGAAGATCCTCACAACTTGATCAATGAGCAACATCATGATAAAGAGAAAAGATTGAAGTTGTCAAGGATTTCATTTTACTTGGATCCACAATCAATACCCACGGAAGCAGCGGTCAAGGAATCAAAAGACGCATTGCATTGGGCACACCTGCTGTAAAAGATCTCTTTAAAGTGTTGAAAAGCAAAGATGACACCTTGAAGATTAAGGTGCGCCTGATCCAAGCCATGGCGTTTTCAGTCGCCTCATATCCACGTGAAAGCTGGACAATGAATAAGGAAGACCGAAGAAGAATTAACGCCTTTGAATTGTGGTGTTGGTGAAGAATACTGAATATACCACAGGCTGCCAGAAGAACGAACAAATCTGTCTTGGAAGAGGTATGGCCAGAATTCTCCTTAGAAGCAAGGATGGTGAGACAGTGTCTCACATACTTTGGACATGTTATCAGGAGGGATTAGTCCCTGGAAAAGGACATCATGCTTGGTAAAGTAGAGAGCCAGCAAAAAATAGGAAGACCCTCAACAAGATGGATTGACAGAAGGCTCAAGCTTAGCAATGATTGTGAGGATGGTGCAGGACTGGGCAGTGTCTCGTTCTGTCATACATGGGGTCGCTATGAGTGGGAGCTGACTCAACAACACCTAACAACAACAACAACATGACACACCAAAACTCTTTCTCTTCTATTACTCTTTCGTTGTATGGTACAAGTAATGTCTATATGCATAGACCTGGATGGAGCCTGACTTGTCATTTGTAAACTCTGCAGAGGAAAAGGAGTAGGTTTGAAATTTATACATTTTCTCTCCCAGATGAAGGAGATATGCCTATTAATTTCTATTAATAGGAGACCTTGTGCTGACAATTTTTCTGTTAGGAATCTGGCAAACTCACCAATCTGACAGATGGGCTGGGAATTCAGAAGTATGCCAAAAGACTTTATGCAAAGGGATGTAGTCAAAAATTATGCCAATTTCCCTGGTTATAGATTAATGATGTCCAAATAAAAATGTTTATGTCTTTGGTCATTATATCTTATAAATCACTTGAAAAAGACTTTTTTTTTTTTTTGGTTTTGTTTTTTGTGTGTTCTTTGTTATTTTTTAATTTTTTTTAGGTTTGATTCTCATAAAGGTTTCTGGTGTCAATTACTAGAAGAAGGTAGAACAAAATGCCTTGGGAAGAGCAAAGGAAGAAAATACCCTCCAATGGATTCTGACGTAAGTATGGAGCTTAAAAATACAAACTAAATAGCCAAACAATAAATAATACCGTATCTATTTTCTTAGAAAAATGTTTGAAAATCAAAATTCAGCCCTTCTTGAACTTAAAAGTCTGGATCAGGAGCGACACTTGGATTTCAGTACATCTCGGTTGCTTGTTTTGAATTTTTCCAGTGAAACTTGTCATGCAAGAGTAAAGGAAAACAGTAGAATCTTCTGTTTTAAATCAGAACAAAGCAGGTAACAGCTCATTTCAAAAAAAAAAAAAAAATGATACCTTCACAGAAATTTTAGCACTAAAAATGTTAACTGAAACCAAGACAGCAAATATATCAACTAAAAACTGAAAATAGGGCAAAAAAAATTTTTTTAACCACCTAATTCACTCTCTAGTAGTGTGACCTGAGTAATAATATTAATTACTGATATTATAAACTAAGCTTTAAACTGTTAATATACTGACAAGATAAAAGAATTAATATATTTCCCAAATGTCTAACATACTAGCAGATAATTTAGGCATTCTGGAAAAGGGAGACATGCGCACTTTGATGTATGTATCTAGTATTTCATGCTCATGCTGTTTAGAATGGTGATGTGGTAATTACTATTGCAGTTTTCTCAGTTTGAAGATCCTGTATTTTTACTGTAATGTTTATTTCGTATATATTAATACATACAAATTAATATTATTTTAATTTTGTATCAGTCCTGTTAGTATATAGCTTGGATATAAAAATGTAAATAGATTAAGATTTGTAAAAAAATTTTGAACTTGGAAATTAAGATAATATTTGGGATTTTTACCCATATGTGTAATACATTATGTTAACTGAGAATTCTAGAATGATCTGAACTTACATGAATACTTTTATCCAAGAAGACTTTGCGGACCTTCTTTGTGTCAGTCTTGATGAGACAGAGCTTGTTCTCAGTAAGCTTATAATTAAATTCTACCTAGAAGGCATTGTGGAGGTTTTTTCTGTTTTGATAAATAAATTGCATTCTCAGAACTCCAGTTTTCTTTGGTTGATTATTAAATTATACCTTCAGAGCACTATGAAAACAATCCTAACACCTTAAAAGAAGTTGAGGGCCAATTTCTCTAGTATTTCAAGAAAGTAATATAAAATATATTTTTATTTATGTAAAAGCTATTTCCCTGTATATTTATGAAAGCTAAAATGTTTAAAATACACTGTAAGATAGCTTTCTTAGCATTGTATTACTCTTGTCTAACATAGCTAATACTGGGATATAATACTAAATTTGGTGGTAGAGAAGGATAAGAAAAAATATAAAAAACATAACCTTTCAGGATATCAATTCTTCTATATCTCTCAACAAGCTTACTGTGTAATATACACTGGGTTTATTTGTGGGAGCAAAGTGGCTGATTTTGTGCAAATAGTGTCCACAGAAGAGGCAAAATAAAGGAGCCTTCATAAAGGTATGCAAACAAAATGTGTGGAATGGATTAGTCAATACTGTCACCATGTGCTTCCCTCTCCTCCTAGTACAGAAAAATGCCAACACCCCTCCTCAAGATTGTTACCAAAACATCATAGAATGCACTTGATCCTGGTCAGTCAGGAATGGTGCTGGCCTGTTTTCACTTTAACTTTATCAACATATGTTGTAGCAATAGGAAAAAAACAGACATGTCCTAAATTAAGACCACTAAATTTATTATTTCTCCAAATCAAAAGTGAATTATTGTTTAGTTTAATAATAGATGAATAAACAACCTGATATGGAATTTACTATTGATTCCTTCTTGTTATCTTATTTGTTATATCATCAAAGTATGCATTATTATTATTACTTCTAATTATATTATTCCACGAGTTTGCATGGACTAGTCAGGCTATTAAAATTAGTATACATCCCATGTGTAATCTTACCATCTAAAATATTCCCCCTTCTGAATTGTCAGATAACAGTGTGTGTACAGTAAGTCCTGCATATTACTGAGTTCTGGCCTAGTAACATTCAGCCTGAATGTAACAGACTCTCAAATATGGCATGTTCTACTTTGCACATCTAGAGCATTTATATTACCATGAAGGAGCAGAGCAATAAGAGGAAGAAAAGGGGGACTTGATAATGGACTTATTTGAGAGAAACTGGGCTAAAGATACACTTATACACATAGTAGGGCAAAGGAGATTTTTGCTACAGAGGCAGCGCTGCTACAGGCAGCCAGGTAATTCCAAATGATGTCCAAAAGGCTAATAAGCTCTGGCATGATTGAAGTAATCCTCAGTATCGAGAGGTTCAATCTACACTCCTGGATCCCAGAAGGTTCAGTTTTAAGTCAATTAGGATATTGGATTTACACATCTGGAAAATATTAGGAAGTAAGCTGGCAGTATCTCCGCAGCCCCAGACTGCTGTTGTTCCAAGCAGGACCTCAGTTATAAAAAGGAACAATGCAGAGTGAGATGTTAAGAGACAACCCACTGGGGAAGAACTTCAGAAACTGACTCCATGCAAAAACCTAGGACTCACCCCTGGATTCCAGATCTGGTTGGCGGCAAAGGAGGCACAGACTAATCAGGCTCCCACATGTGGTATATGGGAAATATAACTTATGTTTCTCTGGTATGAGTGTGCTAGCTGGGCCTATGAGTGGTTTTAGAACTAATGTCTGAGGGAGACCAAAAACAGAAATTGAACAGGGACTGACACACACACACACTTATAAGGTTTGAGTTCTCCCTAAATAACAACAGTAGTTAGAATAAAGCACAAATATTCAGTTTCATTCTAATGATCATCATTATGTTATGGTAAAATTATTAATACAAAATGAGCCTTTTTTCCATAGCATTTAAAATAGGGTACCAGATACATTTCAAAAGAATAGCACAAGGAATTAAATATAAACACTTTTAAAAGGTTTAACTCAACTAAAAATTTCAGAATAGTTTGGGAGTTACAGATACAGGCATCCCCCCTTCACAATATTCCTGACAGTAATCACTCAAACTTTGTATGAGCTCCTCTAAAGACAGGACACACCATCTCATAATGCAGCCCCTCCAATTTTTAGACAGTTTCAATATTAAAAATTCTTATTAAGGGGCACCTACATCTTTATAAAGGAGCCCTGGTGGTGCAGTGGTTAAGCACTCAGCTGCTAACAGAAAAGCCGGCAATTCGAACCCACCAGCTGCTCCACAGGAGAAAGATGTGGCAGTCTGCTTCCAAAAAGATTACAGCCTTGGAAACCCTATGGGGCAATTCTACTCTGTCCAATAGAGTCGCTATGAGTCAGAATTGACTAGATGGCAGTGGGTTTGGGTTGGTTTGGACAGTTCTATAAGTCATGATAGTTTAGGAGGCACTCATCTCTTTCCTTGGGTCAACTAATTAAAATACACCAGATTAAAGGTAATAATAAGATACTGGTTTACCTACTGCATTTTTTTAAGGCTATCACAAAACTGTTTTAGCAATAAGTATTTTGTGTATGCCTTAAAACACCCCTTAAGAAAGTTATTAGTCTCTAAATGTAAATGTAAAATAATGACAAAGGAGTATTTTATAGTATAGATTTACCAAACTAACTCTCTCTCCAAAGCTAAGATGACTTTAATGGACCATAATAAGAGACCTAATCAGTTATTACAGCTATATTTCTAGCAATTCAATCTGCTTATTTTAACATTTAATTCTGTAATCAAATAAATTACATGTTTAATACTAAACCTCTTTCCCTGGCAAAAACTAGTGCATATATACAGCATATATTTTAAAAAGCAAATTCATTTTGTTTTTATTGTGCTAAATAGTTGACAAGCATAGTACAAATTTTAATCCAGATGTGATATACTTGATACAGATTTAAACACCATGAAAGAATATGAAATATACTTTAATAAACAAAATCATATGTACTTTTATATCCTCCTCCCACCTCAGAGCAGAGCGTTTCTGTCAAGCTATTATCGAGATCGCAATGTGGAACTCTCAAAGCTGCTGCACAAACTGGGGCAGCCTCTGCCATCCTGGCTGAGACAGGAGCTGCAGAAAGTGAGATAGCACTGAGGGAAAACGTCTTGAGGATTCATCTTCCATGAAACACTCACCTTTTCCAAAGCTTCCAGAAGCTACCAAATGGCTGTTGAAAAATATACCTCTTCAAACGAGAAAAAAGAACAAAGTTCCTTCCATGTGCTGGCATATGGATGGTTAAAAAAAAAAAAAAGAAAAGAAAAAAATGTCTATTACAAGCCTTGAGGCCTATGGCCTTTCTCTTAACCCATGTCTGAGCCTGTGGGATTATTGTAGACTACTGTGCACACATGTGAAAGTCAATAACAGCAACCAACATAAATATCAAACTCAAATGCAGAACTCTTCCATTTCATAGTAATATTTACACTTTTATATATCAATTAATTGTGTCTTTGTAGATTTGTAGGCCACTGTTTGCCTGTATAATGTTTTATTATTTTTGATTCTGTAAAGTGACCCACAATCAAGAAGTAAACTAGACATCACAGTGTAGCATAAAATGCCAAAAGCATCACACCCTAAAAAAAGTTTGCCAAAATTCAAATCCACTGAAGTATTGAGAAACATTTGTAAATTACAATTTGTGCTAGAACAGAGAGTGGAAAAGTTGCATATGAGCTTTATCTGCATAAAAAAAAAGTTTAGTGCTATAGCAAAAAAGAAAAGTGATTTATCAGATTATGTAGTCTGGTGCATTTATGTAAAAATTACTAACTCCTTTGTCATAACGTAATTGTTGCACTGAAATATATATTGTAGAGTTGTTGGATGGTAATAGAAACACACTGACTATACTAAAACAGTAAATAATAAAGTGTACTATCCTCCAAAAGGGAGAAATCGTAAGGATCTAAAGATATATCAAGGAGCCCTGGTGACACAGTGGTTAAAGCACTCAGCTGCTAACTGAAAGGTTAGTGGTTCAAACCCCCAGCAGCTCCGAGGGAGAAAGACATGGCAGTCTGCTTCCATAAAGATCACAGCCTTCAAAGCCCTATGAGGCAGTTCTACTCTGTCCTATAGGGTCTCCATGTGTTGCAATCAACTCAATGGCAACAGGTTTGAAAGATACATCACTGACAACTCTGTCCACTTGCTGTGAGTTGCAAATCTATTTCAGTAGTCCTCACTGATTCTACAGAAATGCATGTATAGAATCTAAGATATGTGTTACCTCAAAAACACATTGACTTTTAAATATGAATAGCTTTTTAAAAAATGTTCCCCAGACAAAATCTACTAAATGAAAACTAAGGACACTTTCCATAGATGATGTATTTAGACTATTTACATTCAAATTTTAGAAAAGCTACATTTTATTTTTCAGGTAGTTCAAAATGGAATTGTGTAATGTAGAGATTTATAACAAAAAAATTAATATATGATTTGTAATCTGATATTTGCAATGATAATTTTAATACAATGCAGAAAAAAAGCAGGTAGAGTCCCATTTTTAGAATATTTCATACATCACTCTCATGGAAGACAACAGAACATAGTTAAAACTAAATGCAAGAAGTACAAAGATGAGCAAGGCATGGTTGTTGAAGTATATTTATAATTAAATTTTAAATGACATAGATGACTAATAAAGTATTCAAAAAGAATAAGGCATCCTTATTTTCCAGTGTTAATATTTACTTAATCTTTTATATGTACTGTATGCATAAATAAAATTTTAGTAAATAATGTACTGCTATGATAGACAAGTCTTTATAAAATGTTATCAAAAGAAAAAACTAAGCTATACAAGGAAAATCTATAGCCCAATTCTTTCATTTTCATTATAAAGTGCAAAACTAAACTCTACCAATTGTTCACTAATTGTGAGATCCTTCCAGTTACTGTAATTTTTTAAACTTATATAATTAAAAATGAAATTCATTTTAAAAGTTTTATGTACCCAAAGGATACACTAATTTCTAAACAATTAGGAGAAAAAATTGGAGAAAGAACCAGTTGTTAAGACTTCTGCTATAAAGGCAAAATCAAAGTCATTTGGAAAAGTATGGTAACTCAGTCTTCATGCTAACAAGCTGCCTCTTTTGAAGCAGCACTTGCCCAACATCTGAGGAAAATAAGTATAGTCTTTTATCTCCACTAATTTAATTTAAGGAAATTGGCTTAAGAGGGTCAAACATAGTAAGAAAAGGCCCCAGCAGTTGCAAACAGTTTCATGCTATCATTTTGGCAACAACATTACTACCACTAAAACATACATTTATGCTTGGATGATGAGATGTGCATTTAAACTTATAAACAAAGCAGCTTAATTGGCATAATTTTATTTAGGTAAACTGAGTCAACTGAACTGCTCACCCTTTAAAACAGATGTACAGATTTGGATGCTAATGGATGCTTGTATAATGAAAGGGGAAAAAGCAAGCGATCATACAAAAATTTAGTCGCTCACAAATACATGTATTTGCCTAGAACAGCAAACCTTTGAAAGGATTTTTCCCACTCAATGTGTGTTGGAGGCAGCACCAAATCCTAGAGGACATGCATACTTTCTACATTGTCTACTCCAGCTGGTTATTATGCTATTCTGAAAACAACATAAATACAGATGAGGAAAGAATGAGAGATGAGGTAATTTAAAAGTAGCTTTGTATAGAATTCCCCTTTTCATTGCTTAAAATATGAAACTTCCTCAGGAAGAAATGAAATGGTTTTTTCAATGTTTATAGCTGTAATATTCTTGTCATTCATATTGAATGAAAATTACTGGAAACATTTTTTTCTCTGAGTTTTTAAAATAAAAAACTGGATATACTTCTGGTAGTAGCATGGTAGCTCATATGTACAACAATAAACTCTGATAAGAAAATGAAGAATACAAGCCTGGTGATTTTAGGTATAAAGTAGGTATTTGGTTGATTGTTTTTGCCTGGGGCAGAGGGAGGTGGTTATTAGAACTAATGTAATTCAAAATGAAGAGACGTATGGAAAGCTTCCAGTAAGAAATAGTATTTTTTTAACAATATAACCTTTCACAGATCCTTTTCCTCCTAAATTTAGGAGGTGCTTGCATGTTTTAAGTTCTAATAGCTGTAAAGCAGCTCATGGGATCTGCCACTCATGGGATCCTAGAATATGAGAACAACCTACAGCTGGTACCTAACAGACGTGAAGACCTGAATTAATATAGCATTTCTTATTCCCGGTACTCTGCTCTTCTCCTCATAAATGGGCTCTTTTCTTTCCGTACGGCTTTAAAGGGTGTTAATTAGTGTCTCTTTTACAAAATGTAGACATCAAATGACCTCATGTTGCAACCTCTCACTGTCTCGGTGCACCCATCGGATTCCCCATAGGCTTGTCTGCCAACACACACAGTGCTCCAATCTGGAATACACATGACTCCCAATTTTTTAACCAAATATGCCATTCTATGGTCCATCTAAGGAGCTCTAGTAGAGTAGTGGTTAGGCACTTGGCTGCTAACTCAAAGGTAAGCATCTACTCCAAGACCAACTGGTAACTGGTTAATCTGATAAACCACCGCATCAGTATTAGTGGCTTATAATACTTTATAATATGCTTTCCAGACATATTGCACTGTAGTCTCCTTGAGATACATTTTAGCCCCAAGGAATGAGCCACTAATGGGGAGCCACTGAACTGGTCAAATATTTTAGTGTGAAGGTGTTTCTCTAATTTCAAATTAAGCTCTGTAGCTGACTCTGCCTGGTTACCACCTACACCATAGCTGCAGCCTTTTCCTGCCCTCTACCCCCACTCATCCACAAACAGTTGGCAGTCATGGGAGGGGCAATGGATATTCTGTGGTGGACAGTCCTTAAGAAAGTATTTCTGAGATGATCATCTCTTCACTTCATCCAAAGGCAGAGTAATTTCATAAGGTCAAGCCAAGAATTTGGCATTTGCGAATGACAGCTAACTATATAGTATGACATTGATTCTGTCCCCAAGGAAATCTAGACTCTACTTTGAGTAAGTCTCTCATCTATGGCTAAGGGTACCTAACAGAATTTGGTGGGCACTTCCCCCATCAAATGCTACTACTAGCTCTTGTCATTTATTGTCCCCAATGTGTTATCTGTAAGAGTTCTCTATATATTCAGTACTCTTCACAAATCTTACAGAGTAGAATTTATTCAATCATTAGTACATGAAATTTATTTTTTTAACCTCCCCTTGCACCTTCTTCCATTAATCATCTTACTATCTTAATATTTAGGTTTCTATCATTTCTCAGTCTATTCCCAAAAGTTATAAATACAAATATTAATAAATCACTTAAATTGGTTCCAGCTAGATTTTCACAGTCTCCTTGGGAGCATCTCCTAGAGAAAGAATGAAGAGTGTCAATGGATATTTAAGAAAAGACATTCACTTGCCAGATTCAGGTCAGATATCTTATTTACCTAGCAACTCCTTTGAAGGAAATCAAAGTAAATTTCACAAAGTAAATGCTCACAGCATATTGTCTCCAAGATATTGTTAGGATGGATGTATTTGCCCACATTTTACCATACAGAAAACTGAATTAAACTGAATGAAATGTGAGACATTTCCAAAGCACACAGAATCTGTGACAAATCCTACATAAAACTGTCTACATCAAGCTGCTTCCTAGTTATGAGGGAATAAAGTGTAGGAAATGCCTGCTGTCTATATTTCTGATGCCAAAATGCTCTATTTCAAATCAATAACTGAAACGGAAAACAGGTCTTGCTCTTAAATATTATACATAATTTATACAGTTGGACCAGAGAAGATAGTCTTCTTTATTTGGTAAATAGTATTCTAAATTTGAATCTTTTTCAGTTTCAACCATTTTAAACGGAAATAGAAGCTCAAAATACTATATAGTCTTGGGGCTTTAATGTATCATTTCAGAAGTTAACTTATGTCCTTCAAAACAAACAAAATTTTTAAAGGCCCACAAAGCAAATACTAATAAAAAACAGTGTATTTCACACGAGTGAATAAATTTATTAATTCGTATTTAAGATTATATTTTTTAAAATGATAAAAGTTATGAAAATATAATATTGACAAATTCTCACTCTCACCCTTGATCAAGCTGATATGACCATATTTCTATCCTGGATTAATCCACAGTACAATTAGAAAAGCAAAGAGAGTGTAGTGGACTGTAGTCCAACATCTGTTCTTAAATAACATTGGGTAGGTCACTTATCCTTTTTGGGCCTCAATTTCCCTGTCAGTGGAAGAAGTCATGTGATTATTGGTAGAGGGAGGGGGCCACTTTTCCCCTTGCTTCATTTTTCCATGCAGAGGTGCATCAGTTATTGCGACATTCTTTGACTCTTCCTGGCCCTCACATACTCTGCCACAAGGGAAGAGCCATGAATTATCTAAGTGGTAAATTTAGGAGCAGAAATTGGTCTTGAGTAGCTCAAACCCTCCCCCTGCCCCTTACTTTCTTTAGGATCCATCTACCTGCAGAGAACAGACACTGGTCTGTTCTCGGCCTGTGGTAAGTTTAGCAGAAATCAACATTTAAGTAAAGCCTCAAACATAACCAAAAGAAGAGACAGATACAAAAATAAAAACATAAATAGGAAGATGAGCAAGAATGTAAGAGAAGAATGATAATATAAGCTAAATCGCTCATATTTTATGTGGGGAGCCAACTGCTTAAAGTTGGCAAATCAGGAAATTAAGGTACAAGGGTAATTGGAATCATGGAGGTAATCAACAGAAGAACTTAAAACAGAAATGGTAAAAGGGCGTTGGCTTTGATAGTGCAGGACCAGGGAAAATTATCTGAATTTTTATTTCCAAGTACGTGTGCTACTTTCATTGTTGATTGTTTCATATTTCAATAATGATCTATCATTTAAAAAAAAAAAAAAAAGCCTGTAAATATTCAGGACCAGCAATATCCATCCTGGTGGAAAGAGCACAGAAGCAAGAGACCTGAGCAGCAGCT